TTTGAAAAATGGTAGCAAGTTTGCATTGTATGTTGACTGAGTTTTTTTGTGTAGGCATTGTACTTGGAAGCTTGTAGACCACATGCTTTAATATTGTTGAATTTGGCATGGATTTGTTGAATATTGTTGAATTTGTGGGTTGGATTTATTAGTGTACTTATTAAATAATTATTTGATTGTAAACAATCGTAAAATCTGAGAAAAACTATTAGAATTGGTGTGATGCAACAATATTTTGTTGGTTGAACTATATAATAATAAAAAAAAAAAGAAATTCTTCGCCGCGGGCCGCGTGGCTTTCCTTAGCCGCGGGCGCGGCGATTTAATTTTGGGTCCCAGATATCAGCCTCTGTTTAAAAACTTCGCGGCCTCGGAGGAATCTCGCGGCCGCGGAGGTGGGTCGCGGCTGCGGAGCTTTTCTTCGCCGCGGTCGCGACGAGTTAATTTTTAGGTCCTAAATGCAAGTTCCTGCCTCAAAATCTCGCGGCCGCAGAGTAACATCGCTACCGCGGCGAACAATCAACTCGCGACCCTCAGAAAGTCGCGGGCCACGGAGGTCTCGATTTTAATGGCTCTTTGTGCAGATTTCTGGCCATAACTTTCCCTTCAAAACCCCAACACACGCCGACGATTTTTCTTACTTCCGCTCAAACATCAAATTCATCAAAGCTTCTCAAAATCCTTGCAAAGTCTCGAATATTCATCTTTACAATCGAAATTATTCATCCCAGGATCGTCCCTAGCGAGTTTACCGAGAATTTGGAACTTCCACTCGGCAACCCTAACCAACGTCTACTCTGTCCGAGATCATTACCGGAGTCGTCTCTGACCGGCAAGGCTCGCCGACTTTTGTCCCCTCCAGCCATCTACAACAACAAAGTCGGTCACAATGCACTCCATCATCATCGAACCTCCTTCACCGCGTCTTCGGGATTCTTCCTTCCGGTAACCGAGATTCTTGATTTTGCTTTATGAAAGTATATTGTTTGGGCCTGTTGATGTTGAATTGAGTTTGAAGAGGATCATATTGAGTCCACCATTTTTCATTGTTACAGAAGTTCCAACTTCAAACCTTTGCGTGCTAAGTGTTCGATAAATTTCCCGAGAGACTTTTCACATGAGCAAGACTCCGGTACGTCCCGCTAAGAAGAAAACCACCCAAGAGCCGGCCAAGAAGCAAAAAGCGACCTCATCCTCGTCCTATGACGCCCCTCTAGAAGGTGAACGGGATGATATTTCGGACCAATACTACTTCCATTAACTGATGAAATTGATTGAGTCAGTGTGCTCTCTTCCCGATTTATTCGAGAAAGAAGGGTGATATTTATGCCCGCCTCTCGCAAAAAGAGGTGGTAAGGCCGAAAGCAGTGGATTGGGACCTCTAGAATGACCTAGGTATTCTTGAGGATGTGATGAAGTACCTTAAGGTCCTCAACCTTACCGAGTACGCCAAGATCGAGGAGACATCGTATTGAAGCCTCATGCTTGAGTTCTTTAGCTCATTTGTTCTCGTTGGCGGGAAAAAATACTTCACTTATCGGCTTCAAGGGAAGGACTTCACAGTGGACAATGCCGTGATGACGAAGGTTTGTGGGTTCACCATAGTCGGGACACGAAGCAAGGCCATCGAGTTCGATGCTAAGAGGAGTTGAGCCGAGCTTTCCCCGCATACGACTTGGGATTCCTCTGACATGTCCAACAGTCTTATTCAGGACTTGGCCACTGCCGTTGTGCACAGGTTTATCTGTTATAACATTTTCGGGAAAAAAGAAGCAAACAAAGTCAGTGAGGTCGAGTTGTTTCTCCTATGGGCGATGAGGGCGGGTGTGCGAGTGTGCTCCATGACATTCCTGCAGAACACCTTACAAGAGATTGTACTCAATCGGCGTGGAGCACCGACACTTGGTCATTTTGTTACCGCACTCGCCAAACATTTCGATATCGATCCTATGGCCTACACATTGCACGACGATACGTGGGGACCAGACAAGACTCAGATGCGATGTATTAATTTTAATGAGCTCAAGCGGGCTGACCTCATCCAGAACCGGACCACAACTCAGGAGTATACGAAACTTCAGGCTTACGAGACCTATTTCAAAAAGCTCCGGCAGAGTGCGCCCGATTTCGATCAGCCAGGATCGTCTCGGCAGTCGATGGACGGAGACGAGGATGAGAAAATGAACGTCGACGATTCCCATTTCCTCCCACCTCCACCCATATGGACACCGACCCCTATCCCACAGCCCGAGATTCCTCCTCAGCAGCCATCGGCATGGTGGTCCACTTTTCAGACTCAGTACACGTCCGACATCCACTATATCCACGAGCGCATTGATGCCCAACACAGTAGATTGGCTGGACTTGAGAGCCGGCAGAACACTCAGTGGGCCAGTTGGGAGACCCAGCAAAAGAATCAGTGGGACCATTGGGAGACCCAGCAGCAGACCCACTGGACTCAGATGGGTAAGCACTTCGATAGATTGACTGATGGTCTGCTGTCTATTAGCGAGCGGCATGATCAGCAGGAGGCTCGGTTGGACAGCTGGGATCAGAGGTTCACCCAGTGGGACACCCGCTCGAGCTCAGAAGCCAGTCAGCCCTACCCCCCCTCCCCCACCACCATATTCGGATCAACAATGACTTGTCACTGTGCTTTGACTGTTGTTCGCACGTTTTCATAATGTTCTATCCTAGGTTTTGAATGTTGTTCTCACTTTTGCATCCGTATTTTGACGTTGAACCTTCGTATTAATCGTAAGCATCTATTTTCGTTTAATTCATGAATGTCATGGATTTGTTTAATATGAATGTTTGTGTTGAGATTGCTATGAGTAGCTAAATTTTCTAGCTAGGCTTAGGGATAGTCGTTCCGGTTTGAAGTTTGCGCCATGTTTTTTCTTGATAAGAAAACAGGTTTCTTGAGCAAGAGACAGGTTTCTTGAGCAAAAACAAGTTTATTGAGCAGAAAACAGGTTTCTAGAGCAAGAAACAGGTTTCTTGAGCACAAAACAGGTTTCGTGAGTAAAAAACAGGTTTCTTGAGCAGAAAACAGGTTTCTTGAGCAAGAAACAGGTTTTTTGAGGAAAAAACAGGTTTCTTGAGCAAAAAAAAGGTTTCTTGAGCAATACCGCAAAATCTGTTTTGGGACCTATTCATTGTCGCGGCCACGGCGATGAAATGCGCCGCGGTCGCGCCCTGCCTCCGCGGTCGCGAGTGACCTCCAAGGCAGCGAGATTTTTTTGTTGAACTTGAAATTTGGGACCCAAAATATACTCCCCGCGGCCGCGGCTAAGAAAAGCCCCGCGGTCGCGACCAATAATTTATTTTTTTATGTTTCATTCAAATTTTTGGGGACTTCACACACTTCACTTCAATTTTCATTCATCTTAAAAATAACTACAACAAACATAACAAAACTACACACATCAATATGTCCCACAAAGCTATTACATTAACCACACACAAATCAATCATACAAATAACAACCCAATTATGTCTTGCCACAAAGAAAACATTCATTTACGATCAATAAAAAACAATAAATAAATAAAAAAAGCATATAAACTAGGTAATGTTTTGAGGACACTTGTTTTACGGTGGCCGGGTTGATTACATTTACCACACAAACGAACATTGGTAGCGGGACGTCCAGATTGAGTTGGTTGCTCAACATTTTGGACTAACGCAACACAAGTTGTAGAGTAATTCCCACTTTCGTGGCATCGTGTACAAAATGATTTACTTCGAGAGCTAGAAGAAGGGCCAGTAGAAAGTATGTGGTTTGACCTCGGTCTTCCGACTTGCTTGGGATTAATAGGGCATTTGACAACCATCGAACTAGGTGCTGTAGTTAAGTCCCAAGTACTTGGATGCGCAATTGGCATGATTACGGGCTCGTAAAGTTTGCGCCATATTGTGGTCTTGTAGTAGTCGAGCACATATCCATACACCTATTCGTTTGCCTTCCTAAAAATGGTACATGCATAGAAAACAAAATAATGGAGCACATTATAACATTTTTTATGTGTAAGATATCAATATGTATGTAAACGTTGAGGCTTTTATTAAATGAAAAAAATAAAAATATTACCCGATAGCCTTAATCGCATGTGAATAGGACAATTAATCCACCTGAAAGAGATAACAAGTGCAAGTCCGATCATTCAAATTGACAACAAAATTCTTGACCTCGTCCGTCACGTGGTAAACATAGTGATTGATATTTGAAGCTTTCATTTGGTCCGCTTCGATTTTATAATCCATTAAACGCTTAGATATTGATGAAGGAACTTCACACTCAGTTATTTCTATCTCGACACGTCTTTTGTAAAACCACTCTTGTATAATGTTTGAATACATTCAAACAATGAGCAAACAGGCAATTTCCTTGGCCAACGCAACCTATTGTTAAGCACCTCACAAGCATTTGACGTCATGAAACTATATCGTCTCACAAGACATTGACTTCATGCCCACCTAGTTGGAATGGCTTCATCAATTAAAACCTTTTTTGTGTTAGGATATTTTGCCGCAAGCATTTTCGTACACAACCGGAGAATAAGTATATGAAGCTTTCGAAGGTGGTAGGAACATATGGCATGTATGGCTTCAGGGTAGACAACCTCCATAGCATACTTTATGCTTGGGTGGCAATCAGAACCAATCACTAAATTTTCCGAACATCCAAAAGTGGAGCGAAGCTTTTGGAGAAACCACATCCACGCACTATGACATTTCTTATCGCCGATACCAAATGCCAAAGGAAAAATTGGTTCATTTCCGTCCTTCGTAGTTGCTACAAATAGGATGCCTTTATACTTAGCCTTCAAATTCATACCGTCAATCACAATAACGGGCCGACAATAACTGTGGAAGCCTGCAGACGCATGAAAAGATATAAAAGCATACTCAAACACGTCATCTTTATCGGTCTCTATGTATGCCGATGTTCCAGGATTTTCCTTCATCGACATATGAAAATACGCCAGCAAAAGTTCCTAGGATTTCCTGTGATCTCCATAAATGAAGTCGTAGGCGGCGTTTTGAGACCTCAGACCTGTATTGTATTTGAGCTTAATGCCATGATCACGCTCCACGTCACCCATAATTTCTGCAGGCTTCAATACTCGGCCCTCTGTCAACAACTTTGGCGCGAATAATGCTCCAATGATCTTCGCAGGCAATTGTCGAGGGGCTGAATGACTCAGGTTAACCAAGCATGTATGTGGATGGATAAATTTTGAAATTTTCCAACTACTTCTAGTTAGTGCATTCGCAGAAAGCAAGAATGGGCAATTTTTGTGCTTGCACACAACCTTTAACCGAAAGTTTGAAGATCTTGGTGTTCGGTACTCCACTTTATGCTTCAGATGACAACCTTTACTTTGAATGACAACACCTTTGGCTAATTCACAGTCTATCATTGATGGCTCTTGAAACGAGGGATGAACATCAACATTATGAAAAATGGCTTCGGCAATCCTCCTACCACTACTCGAACGAGTAGAAGTTTCATTCAAATTGTCCTCTTCAATAGAAACACCTCCAGAAAGATCAAGCTGAGGAACATTGTGGATTGACATACTCTTTTTGTTGCGTAGAATATGCTCATGTAAACCACCCATCAGGTTTGAGGGGGACACAACATTGTCGTCGCCATCTTCACCTTCTTCTGAGCTAAGCATATCATCTTCAATAATGAAATCCGAATCGTCATTCCTATCATCCATCTCATTGAATAAATCGTCATTGCAAGTATTATAGTTGATGCTCATCTCATTATTGTAAGCATCACAATATTGCCCGTCATCATCACCTTCATCATTCCCAGTTGAATCCCCATTCACCCGCTATCCACACCCCAATCGACATGTTCGGGAGATTGACGTGAGGCATTAGGTTGATTTGAATCCATTTTTCTGGTGGTGTCAGGCACCGGGTTTTAATTGTTTGCCAGATAAGATGTTGATGGTTGACTATGTAAGTTTATTATAAGTGGATACACAACACCATATGGATAGAGATGTGGGCCCTAAGCAGCAACTAAAATCATAAACCCACCTTGTCCCTCGGTATAGCCATACGAAGGGTACGTTGGTACACTTGCCTGATTATACGGACCTGGACTATCTTTCGGTTGTAGTGTAACATAGATAGTAGGTATAGTGAACATGGAAGACACATTTTGTAGATCTGCTTCACAAGATATATGCAATTTCTCCACCTCTCCATTATCACCGGCAACTAAAAAGTGAAATCGATAGTCGCACATGTTTCTATCTCCACGAACAATGTCATGAACTCTGTTTATGAAAGCTTCATATGATGAGGTCCAAAGACAGAAAAAATTCATCTCTGTCTCACCATTTTGTACACATCACCATCCCAAAAGCCACTGTGAACAATTCGCACTTTACCAACATCCATCTGAAAAAATAAATAAAAAAAAAAAGCTTAGTACAAATACTTTATTCACCTTTTGGTACCTTCAAATGTGTTTTGACAAAAATATATATGAATACAACACATTTTCTTGCTCAAGAAACAGTTTTTTCGCGCAAGAAGCCAATTTCTTGACAAGAAACAAATTTGTTGGTCAAGAAACTAATTTCTTGAGCAAGAAACTGGTTTCTTGTTCAAGAAACCCGTTTTCTGCTCAAGAAACCAGTTTCTTGACCAACAAATTGTGGTTTTGTTCAAGAAATTGTTTTTTGTTCAAGAAATTTTTTATTTTTCAACAAACCATTAATTCATCTCCTAAACTCCAAAAATATAACGGCTGAACACAACTCCTTTTTTTAAAGCACAAAAGCCCTATTTTTTTAACTCCAAAAAAATATAAGTTCAACAAAATAAAATGTTACTAGACAAATCAATAATTTTAGGAACAAAAATAATGAATGTGTTCAAAAAAAAATTTAATTAACATAATAAAAAAATTAGGTTTATGTTCATGTACCTTTTTTCTTCTAAAAAAGGGATTCACTTGGTGATGTTGGAGATGATATTTGAAAAGAGATCACTTTTAAGTGATTTTTTGGAAGATGAGATTTTTTTTTGTTTGCTTACAGCGGCAGAACAATGAGAATGGAGGAGAGAAAGAGATGCAGTCGGCGTGCTCACAAAGACAATGGACTTTTTTTTCTTTTTTTTTTAATATGTTTGGTAAAACATTAATAAGGGTACAATGGTACTTTTTCCTACCAAAATGACTATATTTCATCTTTCTTATAAAGTTGACTATATTTCATCTTTTGCTTCAAAGAAGTACTAAAAATCGCTGGCTCTGTAAATTATTTGCGATTGGATCAATCAAAAAAGGAAAGAGAGAGGATTTTTTAAATAAATAAAACAAAAAGAAAATTATCTAATGAGGAAATCAAGGAAACAAAAATGAAATTTACCCACTTTGGAGGATTTTTAAGGAGTCTGTGAAGAGGTTTGATTGACCGAGCCATGAGCTGAACAAATCAGCCAAAAAGGAGGTTTTTAATTTGATCACAACTTGCCTTATGGACTTAGGAATTATTTGAATAAAAAGGCTCCAAATATTCCATCAATAAAATATCAACGAATCAACATAATAATGGTCCGGAACAATTTAAGGCCGAACAATATAATTCCAAGGTTCGGATGAAAATGCCAAGGAATGGGTTCAAACGGATTGAAATCAGTTTAATCAATTAAACCGTAAATTACCGGACGACGAACGATAAATAAATCGAACGAGCATATAAATAATTATATTATATTATTCAATCAATAATATAATAATATGAAATCAAATAAGGCATAGAAAAAATAATAATATGAAAATAAATAAATAATCCGGAAAAATCAATAACTCAAACGGATTAAATTCGGTTTACGCGATTAAACCGAAATCGCCAAACGATGAACTTTTAAATAATTTGAAATTCGGTTTACGCGATTAAACCGAAATCGTCGGACGACGAATTTTTAAATAATAAAATGAACAAGTACTTAAAAATATTATTTAAGTACCAATAATGGGAAAAATTGGGAGGAGTGGGAGTGTATTTAAAAAGAACTAGAGGAAGCTCATTGCCTTGAAGAATTATTTTGGCAGCAAAAATCAAGAAACTTGTGGCTGAAGGAAGGGGAATAGAACTCCAGATTTTTTTCATGTTGTTACTGCCTAGAGAAGGAAGAAGAATGCAATCACAAGAATGATAGATGAGAGATCCAGAATCCTGGAGACTAAAGAGGAGATAAAAAAAATCATGGGTAAAATACTTTTTCCTATCCGAACTATTACGGTTTTGGCGCATCACCATATAAACTATTTTTTTTTTACAAACCACCTTATGAACTATACGGGTTTGTCAATGTTCCCCCTAAACCGGATATAAAAGTGGTTTAGAGGGCACATTGACAAACCCGTGATAGTTCATATGGTGGTTTGTAAGAGTATTTAGGGGGCACATTTGGTGACCAAACAGTTTTTTCAGTCAAAACCACTTTTATATCTGGTTTAGGGGGCACATTGACAAACCCGTATAGTTCATATGGTGGTTTGTGAAAAAAAATAGTTTATATGGTGATGCGCCAAAACCGTAATAGTTCGGATGAGAAAAAGTATTTTACCCAAAAATCATATATCTATGTTCTACCACAACCTCTTCACACCAGAAGGTTCCACATATGAAGAAAGGATTCTGCAGCTAATCCCTAAGTCCATAACTCAAGTGATGAATGATGATCTTATTGCTCCAGTGGAGGATGAGAAAATAAAAAACAACCTGTTTACCATGAATCCCTTAAAGGCATCTGGAGAAGAAGGAATGACAACTTTATTTTACCAACACTTTTGGCCAGTAACCAAGAATGACATGTGTGGACCTGTGAAGAATTTCTTCGTATCAAGCATTTTCCTAAGATACTGGAACCATACTCTAGTGACTCTGATCCCGAAGTGTGAAAATCCAACTTCCTTGAACCAGCCTGTGTGCAATTGTCTACAAGGTGATTTCTAATATCCTTGCCTCCAGACTAAAGGCATACCTTCACAAATGCATCAGTACAGCCCAGGGAGCATTCATACCTGGAAGAAAACTACTGGATAATGTCATTATTGAATAGGAAAGCTACCATTACCTCAACAATCATAGATCTGGTAAGCACAACTTCATGGCTTTAAAGTTTGACATGATGAAAGCATATAACCAGGTAGAATGTAAATGTTTGAGTGCTTTAGTGCTTAAAATGGGATTTACTTAGACTTTTGTGAGTGGACAATGTACTGTGTGTCTTCTGCCACTTTTTCATTTATGCTCAATGGGGAAGCAGTGGGGTATGTGCAACCATCAAGGGGGCTGAGACAGGGAAACCCTATTTCTCCATGCCTCTTCTTGATTGTGTCTGAAGCTTTATATTCCTTGATCAGTTTTGCTACTAATGAGGGGGATTTCAGGGGAATAGGACTGACCAGATGTGCTCCTCTACTTACTCATCTCTTGTTTGTTGATGATCTCTTGGTGTTCTGCAAGGCAGATTTTGGGCAAGCATTACTCCTGATGGACATCCTATTGGCATATGAGCAATTCTTTGGGAAGAAAGTCAATATGAACAAGTCTACTATGTTTTTAGCAGGAATACTTTGTGCCATGTTAGAAACAACATCTGTGAAGTGTTAAATGGTCTAACAGCCCATAATTCATCTAGATACATGGGTCTTCCATTTGAAATTGGTAAATAAAAAAAGGAAGCCTTTGAGTTTCTAGAAATTCAATGTACGAAAAGTGGGGTGTTACAGTTTTGTATCAGAGCCCAAGTTTTGTGGTTCTATAGACTCGTAAAATATTTTAAAGTATTTTCAAGAAATGACCACTCGCCACCGTCGCACCATGCCAACTCTGAGGTAAGTTATTTGAGTTAAGTTATTATTACGTGCATAATAGAATAACATGAGTTGGGGCTTAAGATTCTACCCATGTATGGGTTCGAACTCTAGAGATGATCAAACATAGTGAGCTTAGAAGCAAGCGATTAACTCTAGTATCTTCCAGAAATGGCAAGAAGAAATCAAAATGTGGTGCCACCGGCCACCGGCCACCGGCATGGATCAGGCTAAGATGATGGGACATTTCCAAAAGATGGATCCGCCAATATTCACTGGAAAAGAAGGACCGGCACATGTAGATGAGTGGTTCATGACAATGGAAGATATCTTTGAGGTGTTGGGTTGCACAAATGAGCAGAAGATAACGTGCGGTCAATACCAGCTGAAAGAGGACGCTAAGAGGTGGTGGACCACCTATTGGAGGACGAAGCCGGTAGACGAGCGCACAAATTTGACCTAGGAGAGGTTCAAGGAGATCATGGCGGAAAAGTATTATCCTCAACACTATCGCGAGCAACTGGAGAGCGAATTTTGGAACTTAATTCAAGGGAGCCTAACTGTAGATGAATATGAAAGAGAATTCACTAGGCTGAGCTCTTTTGTGGAGCACTTAGTGGATACGGATGATAAAAGGGCGAAGAAGTTTAGAAGGGGTTTAAAACCTACCATCCGACACCTAGTGGCGAGCCACGCAAACCGTTCTAGGACCAGGTTGTCGCACGTCCCGAAAGATCCGTGAGTTCTGACAGTACGACTACGAATCCCAGAAAACCGTTAGAGCGAGCGTCCAAGAGATATTCGAGTTATGGGAAGGTGCAAGGAAAATGGGAAAGGATAAGAGGATCAAGAAAGATGCACTGTCCCATTGGGATGGCTGCAAGAAGCTATTCACCGTGTTGCCACTGGAGTGGAAGGCCGATGTAAATAGACTCTATATAGAGCTATCAATTGAAGGTATGAGAGATGGAAATCGAAAGAAGGAGGATGTGGTCAGATTTTACGACTTAGTTCTAAAAGTAGGCAACTTGTGGGAAGAAAGGGAAATTCCACTGCAGACCGGATTGGAGACCACTGAAGAAGACTCAACTGAACTTGAGCCAGCTGAGCAGGAGCTTAACTCGAATGGAAGTGTTGGCAGTAATTAGAAGCTAAGTCGTTTCTTATGTTTGATGAACTCTAGGAATAAGAACTTTTTCCGGGGACGGAAAATTTTTAAGAAGGGTAGATTGTAACACCCCAAACTCATGTCGTTCATTTTATGTTTAGTATTATTTTCATGGATATTATT